AAAAAACATGTGCTCGAGTGCATGAGAGAACCGCCATGTCGAAACTTGTACTCGCTATGTACTCGTTGTGTTGTTTTACTAAGCGTGGCCGCCCCGTTTTATTCTGTCACTGTTAGAAGTTTCTGATTAAGTATTCGTTGATTAAAGTCGATCAATTCAGTCTTGTGGTTTACACAAAACGTGTCCTTTCATTCACAACACTGAGAAAATATCGGGACCTAAACGATCCATTAAGATCACCGATCACTTCACGCGCACCTCCGCCAATGTAATCTATTGCATAACTTGCACTCATTGCAAAAAGATATACATCGGCGAAACTGGCAGAAGACTAGGTGACCGATTCCGAGAACACCTTCGCGACGTGGAAAGGAATGACAGGGACACATCGAAACCAGTCGCTAGACATTTTAATTTACCTAATCATTCTAAGCAACATATGGCAATCTGCGGTCTTTCCTTACATTTAGGTAACACGGAAAGCCGTAAAACTCTTGAACAAAAGCTTATCTTTCAAACCGGCAGTCTCAAATCCAACAGGTATCAACGAATGTTTTTCATTCCACTGATTTATTCGGGTTTTTCTCGTTTCCATGTTCCCACCAATAACGTAGCTCCACTTTCTGCCTTTAAAAGCACACACAACCCACAATTCCTCTATATTCGCTCCGACGAAGGGCTAAAGCTCGAAACGTCTGCTTCTGTAATCGTTACGGTAGCCAATTTACCATTTCAACTTTGTTGATATATCCAAATTATCTAGCCTGCAGTGTTTCACCCGCAAAATATTATACGAAATTCTTCAAGCTGATATCTGGCTCTATAGTCGCCACCATTTTTTAAAATTAAAATTCTTCCAGCAACCTTTGCGCCGCTAACTAGTCTCCATGCTTCGTAGTTAGGAGCGGGACAACATTGGAGGGTTTCTCTCGCCAAGTGTGCCCATACTATCTGCTATTACCGAAGAATTTCCTTTACTTTACCTCGAATTTTGTCACCGGTAGGATTTTTCTTTCCGCAGTGCAAGCAGGTAACCAGTCAATAGACACAAGGCGGACTTTTACTTTGGGTGTGGATTGGAAAGAATGCAGGCCAGAATGATAATCTACTCCACGAGGGAAAAACACGTGCGTGGTGTTTTCATTCAAGCGGTCGCTCTCAGCTCCTCCAAATCTCTAGAGTTTTGTCAACAAGTAGTTTGTGCTGTGCCTTTACAAGCTTTTTGTTAATGAAATAAAATTCCAGGCCATCGAGGAAGTTGGATGACTTGGACGCCATTATTAGCAGATACCAAAACACTTAATACGCGAATAGAACCAAAATGTTGTGGTTATGGATAGATTCCCTATCGGAAATCTTTTTCAGGTGTTCATATGCTCCTATAAAATTTGTTAATTCATGAGGCACTTGCCACCATGAAGAACCATTCTCATTTCGCCATCTGTGCTTGTAGGGACTAAAGAATTCTATTTTCAATCATATTTATCAATCAGTTTTTTTTTGCTTGCAAATGATGTGACATGATTTAGCATTTAATTTATATGATTTTAAAGTATACTTTCTTTTTTTTCTATTATTTTTGTTATCACAGTATAGTGTGGGACCCCAAAATGCTGAAACTATTTTTGTGAAAATGAAGAAAGATTGTTACCTTGGTGTGTTTATGTTACAGTCAATCTGACATTTTTTGCATGAAACTTTGCAATGTTGCAGTGCATTGATCCAGTATTTATTGATAGTTTGCATAAAGCAACTTGCAAATTTCATTCAAATTTACTCAAGCAAGTTGGCAAGTGCTGTTTTGACAAGTTCTGGTGTTGACAAACAGTCCACCTTAGGCCAGTATTATCATTTTCTCTTTCTTTAGCACAGCAGTGGAACCGTCTGATTGTATACGGAAAAAAAATTAAACTCCTAAAAGGTCAATCAGTGTTTGAACATTCTGCAGCAATCTTGGAAAATTCTTTCTAAACAATATCCAGTTTGATTGTACCACCTTGTACTTGGTATTAGCTTGGTCTTTACCTGCCACTTACAAGAACATCCTTACATTTACAGTGGTCATCCAAGAACTTGTCACAGAATTTCTTTTTTTTCATATCTTGCAAGTCTTTCAACTGAAATTCGAATAAACACACATGCGAAAAATCAATTGGAACTGAAATGTGTCAGTGAAATATAACTCATGCGAGTGCCCTTAAGAAACGTGTAACAGAAGTTGAAGAAGATTACTTAGCCTACTGGCTAAATAAATTCATCAGTTGTGGTAGTATTACCAGACAACATCTGATCTATCAGAACATGGATGCCTTTATGACTAAACTGTTAACTCAGCCCAATCCAGTCACAAACTGGGAACATTGGCCAACTCTGTTCAGCTACTGTGAATCTCTTGCAGAAGTAGCAACAAGAAAAGGAGACATGTTCTGCCTTGGTGGTAAACGCTTTGGTCTCAAGGAGCACAGACACAGTTGCACCAACACATTCATACTGCAAACCTGGACCATCGTTATCCACCTTGGATTCACGAGTGCTTGCACCAGTGAACAATTCTGGTCCACATCTGAGAAATTTGATGTTACTGTTAACACTATTAGATACTCTTGATGATGTGCCATGTATTACAGCTCAGGGATTAAAGAAGTATTTGGTTGTTATTCGTTGTGATGGGATGCCTTTGAACATTGGAACCTTTCCAAGGCAAGAAAATGGTAAGACTCTCTTTGATGGCATTGTTCCTTCAGTTAAGCTGGTAAAAATGAGAGAACTTTACCAAGGTGGTAATACTGCTGTACATAAGTTCATTGCAGAGAACTGTTCTAGCATCCTGAATACGCGTACATGCATGTCCGAGCAAACTTTCTCACGTGCTGCAATGAGAGTGACAGACCCAATTGGTTTGCTTCTTTGTTTCCTCACATGCTCTTGTTCCATTGCTTGTATCTTTTTCGTCATTATTGGAACTGATATAGCATAGTGAATAAACATTCCAGTAACTTAGGGCTCTTTATTACAAAGGGTGATCTATCTTTCAGTGTGGATAATCATGAACTTCAAGTTGAGTGAGGTAGCGATACTTTCTTACCGAGCTTTGGGAAGTGACGATTCGAACGATAGCTCTTGTCAGCACGAAGACTTTAACCACAGGGCCGTAAAAGTAGGGGGCGGGGGCTCTGTGCCCCCTCACTTTCTTGGGAAAAAAAAAAACCTTAATCTAGGCAATCCTTACCAGTTAGGAATTATGAAGGTCAATTTTTAAAATTTGACGGGGAAGGATGCCCCCCTGGACCCCCCCACTGGGATTGGCCTTTCGGTCCATCGTGAAACACCCACAGCCGTGCAAAATTCGTTCGTAGAATCCTGTACTAAGAGCTAACTCTCGATACGCCAGCTTTTAAAAATTGTGACACCGGTTCACCTATCTTTATCAACTTCTAGATGATAGTCGTACGACACGACTGGAATTGCTGATTCCTTTCACATTTGATTCAGACGCCACTGGTGGTACCATCAATTTAGCTCTGCAACTACAAAGACAATGTGAAAGGTACGGCCTTTGAAACTGGCCCTTGCGACTGTTTAGTTGAGAAGTTCGTTTACGGGGATTCGACTGTAAAAGTATTTAACTGTTCGTGCTTCCTTGCAAATTACTCTAGCTAACGTCACGATCAACTTACTCGCCCCTCCTCCATTAAAAAGAAAGCAATATGGCGTACACCCTGAAGAGCCGTCGATTTAGGACACGAAACACAGGCCTCTAATTATCATATTTCCAGCAAGGGCTCACGTCAACTACTATCTTATACTACGCTGAACCGGTCTCTAACTAAAATTCGGTATAAATGGTATCATGATCTTGTAGAGCTTTTCTGCGATAGCCGATGGCGCATTGAACATGGACTCTTTCCAATCAAACAACAAGAAAAGAAAAATTGTCAATCCAAAAATTGCCATCCAAAAGTTACCAGTCGGTTGATGGTGGCATTATTAGCATACTTCATGGCGATAATTATTTTAGACTCCTCTGAATAAAATTTCCATATCATTCGAAACCATAGATGGGATTTTGGCTGCAGATATTCTCAGCAACATTTTTTTGCGCTTTCGTTTTGCGTCTGTGATTCATTTTCAAGATCGATGCCTGTCGTTTGTCGCAATGACCTCTTTGCAGTGTCTTCATTGTCCAAAGGTAAGCACGTGTTCAATATAAAATCAAAAACTTTCTGAACGTTTTCGCCAGATTTTGCACTCGTTTCAAAGAATGGTTTCTCGTTGAAGCTGCCACTGGCCCTTCCTTTCTTTTCATTTAGTTCCAAGGCTAATGACTCGCCAGCACAGGATGCAATTTCCCGAAAACTGCCCGTCACAAGATCTTTCTTGGTGCCTACTACTACCACTAGACAGTTTGGTTCGGACGCGTCAAGCAATTGTAGATAACGCTCTCTTAACGCGCGAAGAGATCTGCTTTGTGAGATGTCATAAGCCAGAATGGCTGCTGAAGCGCCCCGACAGTAAAATGAGGAAAGGCCTGAGTATCTCTCTTCACCTGCAGTGTCCTAAAACGAAAAAAGAAAAAAAGACTTTAAGGTGGCTGACAACACCTTCGATACATATCTTTCCACTGGCATCCTTTCCTCTTCATTATCTTCAGTGTTCAGCATTTGCCCTACCCACCCCTCCCCCTCGTACCACTTCACGGTAGTTTTGTTGTTATTGTTATTTATTGAAAACAAAAGTTGTAGTTTTTTTTTCTCGATGGTTTTCCTTTCTAAGAATACACACCAATACTCCAAAACGAGAGATCCCATTTAGGTCGTGGTCAACTACGCACTTGTCATTTGACCTTTTTTGGAAAACTTTGAAAATTTCCTAACAGTAATCGCTACAAATCTCTAAAATAATGATTCGACAAGAAGCGCTGATAACATCGAAAGGCGAGGACCACAATTTAGTCAGGTCACTGTGTGGCGGCTTGAGAAATTTTCAATCGGGTATAGAAGGTAATCTGGGATTACCTTGATTTTGATGTTCTTGAACACTCTGTGATTGGTCCACAAAACTCGTGCTGTTCTCTCAACCAATCAGACGTAAACCTTACACCAACCGTGACCTGGTCACCCATGTTTCCCGCCCTTTTTGTAGTTTGCCTGTTTTATTTGGGTTTCCCTTGGCCAATAATGATTGTAACCTGATTGGCTGTTGTGTTGACTTTACTATTTTTGCATTTTCGACACCCACATCAAATCAGCTTTAAAAAGGAAAATTAACAATCTTTTGACACTAATTTCTTGTAATCTACAGAATACACATTAATTCCATTACCCAGATGGCAACATTGTAGGGTCCCCACTGCTTTAGAAAGAAAGATGCTCCGATAGTCTGTGGGAAAAAATGACAGTCAAATATTTCAGCCAGGTAAAATTGGCAGTCTCAAGCATTAATGCGTTTTATAACATAACCAAAGTAAAGCGCGCGCTCTGATTGGTCAATTTAGCGTCCCCCATTTGCCCATGGGTGTTCGCTGCTGACATGAGCAAATGCAAAGACTACTTTTCCGCGCGCGCTTGTTTTTTCTGGTCGCGTAAGATTTGTTAAATAAAAGGGAACTCTTTAGCTACAATGTATCAATRCTATGTTATAAAACAAATGGTAAACACCACAGCGTACACTATTGAGTTATGGATGCACTTGGGAGGTTTGCTAAGCACTCAAGAAGCTAGAGTCGCTCTCGGCTTCGCCTCGCGCGACTCTTACGCTTCTTTCGTGCTTAGCAACCTCCCGCGTGCATCCATAACTCAATAGTGTACGCTGTGGTGTTTACCATTTGTTAAATTTCAACCTACGCGTGGTGCAATCATACAGTCTATCTGGCCACAAATTCTCTGAAGGGGCTGATAAAAGTGAAGAACTCATTATTGGTAGTCTGCCGACAGTCAGTCCACACGTGACTGACCACTGGCAGACAATTTATGGGTTCACTGTTGGACATTTTCTGACCAATAGGTCTAGGCTAAATTTAGTAATGCAGCAGCGCAGCAATGCAGTTAAGTCAAATAAATTTTAAAAAAGCAATAAAATTATGATGAAAAATAAGAATAAAGGCTGCAAGCAAAAAGAGAAAGATTAAGTTACCAATAAGGATTCTCACTGTCTAACTCTTGATTTGCTAGTAGTCTGTAATCTTCAGGGTACTTGTCAGTGAGCGGGAGCCATGTACCGTACTATGGTCAGCCTCATTATATTCTTGTACTAGTCTAGTTATTTTCAGACAATTCAATGAACATTAGTTCTAGAGCTCTCATAAAACACTTACACTGATAGTGTTTCCTGCAAAGACTCCATGAAGATATCTTTGGATCAATGAGGTTTTTCCAACACTAGTGTCACCAAGAATGATTACTTTCAAATCTCTGTCATAAAAAAAAAAGGAATGAAAAAAAGTCATTTTCACAGTTCATTTTGAGGATAACAAAATTGCAGAAAAATAATTCTAAAACCATAAAGATGCATTTTGAAAAGGCTAAACAAAAGCTTGTCGACAACATTTCCAAATTAACATAACGCCATTATCACGTCAAAAGAATGATAAGTGTAGGAGGCTTTAAATACTAAAATAACAAAAGGTATTGACAAAAAAATAAAACAATATTAAATAACTAAGAAAAAACTAAATAGTTATTTATTCATCATATCATATTTCTTACCCTTTTTATACTGTACCTTAATGGTTTTAGAAGTATTTTGACGCAATTTTTATCTTCAGGTATTTTTCTCAGTTTAAGGAAATAATTCCCTTTCTTGGGGTTATTTTCTTGTAATATTTCCTTCAACTATCTTTTCATTCATTTTCTTCACTTCTTCACTAATCCTATCATTAATTCATGCTTTCAATACAAACTGAGTCAGTCATTCATTCTCTTAGCCTGGCATCATGGTGCATTTTTAGACTGAACTTTATTTTAGCCCACTCCCCTGCTTAGTCAGACTATTTTCTTGTCATTTTTTTTATAATTCTTTTTCTTTGTTTGTTTCCCTATGCTGAGTCACTTGAACTTTCCCATGGCAGTTCAGGCCAAAGGGACTCTGAGTCTCGTCCCAAAACATATATATGCCCAAGAAGAGAAACTGAATTGTATTATTTGACTGTCAAATTCAAAACAAACACATAATCTTATATAAAAATCCATTGGGCAATGACCAATTATATGGTCCTTTAAGGTGATCACAGTACACAAACAATAGTGAAAATCACAAAAACTTATGACCTTTACCACTAAAATGTTAATCATGGCACATCTGATCCACTTATTTTTAGCAACTTGGTAACATTCCAGGCATATTTTTGGTGTTTGGAGTCTTGCACCCCTTAAACTCCCAAGAACTGATTTTTAATTCTCCCCTCTAGCTGCTACACATTTCCTTGTAAATTAGCGAGGAGAATTTGGTGTCTCATCAGGATATCAACTTGTATGTGATAAGTCTGAGTATTCTCATTACCTGTTTACTGAATAATGTATGGATATTATAGAGAAAAGTTACATGTAAATCACTTCTGGGAATTAAAGGGTTGACCATCAACTTCCACGAGTGACCAAGACAAAATTTCTCCATACAATTTCACAACAATATCAAGCATACAAGGGATGAGAAAACACAAAAATCCACCAGGGGACTATAATTTGTTCCATTAACAAAATTTATTCTCCAAACTAACATCATAAAAGTTTTAAGACACAAAGTAAAGAGAATTAACAATAAGATCTTAGGATTAGCTCCAATTAATTAATTAGCTCTAATTAGCTCCTAGCTTAGAGCTAAATACTTACTGACACTTAAAAAAAGTATATATATATGTTGGAGTGAAAGGCCCAAAATGACCTGATAGACAAGTAAACATGTTTCACTTACGCTTTCTTTTTTGTCGTCGACTCCTGCATCTCAAAAAAAAAGTGGCTCTACTGTGTCTATTTCACCCTCTTTCTTACATCTAACAAGTAAGAGAAATAATAACTTAGACATTCAGCTTTTACAGGTTTTTTTTCTTTTTTTTTTATTTAAAAATTGATAAAATGATAGTTATTCAAAATGATGGGGATATGCTGCTGGATGGGGTCGCATTTTCATGACTGGGTTAACTATACTTAGATTACTGGTTTGCTGAATAATGTATGGGTATTGTAGGGACAAGTTTTAAGTTAATCACTTCAGGGAGTTTCAGCATTAAACTTTAACGTAAATTACAACATCTTCAACCAGAAGCCTGTAAACATGAAAAACATCTACTATTCTTATAATGTGCTTTGCCCATATCCTATTGAGCAGCTCTGAGTACTTTTCAGTGTCACTACAATCAGCTGGATAACATAAAAAAAATTATAAAAACACATTTTAACAAATAGATTTCATGTGATCATGCACCTATTCAGTAGATGACAGACCACATCAAAATGTGTTATTAGAACAAAAAGGGGCACATGGGGCACAGTCAAGTGTCTCTAATGGTCTTACCACATTTTGACACCTTTAGCTGTGGCCTGTTGCTCTACAGATCTGCCACAACATGGAGTCTATTTGCTTCATATGATAAGGAAGCAAAATGATGTTAAAGGTGACGTACGTCATCTATGAGCCTGTTCTCCAGTAGATCATTAAAGTAACAACCAATGTAAACAAGGGCATAATTCCGCTCATCATGTAAGTAGGAAATATATAATGACTCCAGCGAAACTCAAACAAGATATTTGTGGCTTTCCTGTAACTAGAGTGGTCACTTTGGGGTAAGTAACCCCAGTTACAGACTAGACTTATTGTTCAAGCCAGCTGCATGTAGCATCCTGTATACAGATTGGTCAGTTTGGTGTAGGAAACCCCAAATCAATCAATCAATCAATCAACAACTTTATTTGAGTGTCTAATCTTCTAGCTTGCCCTCAGGCCTACTAATCAGGGACACTATTTAAATTACTTA